TGGCTGTTGAAGACAGTCATAGGGGGGGTGCAAGCCTTGACGCGCGTTTTTCGCTGCTTAGCACCCATAGCAGCTCATCAGAGGGACAACCTCTGGGTTAAGTATGTGTGTTAGTAGTGGTGGAAGGGTTTGGGGAAGGAGGGAAACAATGGGTATTTTGTTTGTTAGGCAGGCAYAAGGTGGTAAAAGTATGTAGAACCATACTTGAGTGCGTAGCGCTTGTGCAGAGGACGACGTATCATCGATGGTAGCCATCGGGTCCTCTAGTGATCAGTTGCCACATGTCACTATACGTAGCACCGAGGACGCATCTTCAATTGCACAATTAGGATCGCACTGTCTGGTCAAGAGTGTGTCTGGTACAGCAGTTGCATAGGATCGCGTTGCTGAGAACGCGTTACATGTTTTGAAGCGTGCGAGCAAGGATTCGACGAGAGCATAAAATACTAGTGCAACAAGAAGCACCAGTATGTGCAGCAGAGAGTGTTTGTAGAGTTGTAGGCGATGGTAGCCATCGGGTCCTCTAGTTATCAGCTGCCACATGTCACCATACGTAGCACCGAGGACGTGTCTTCAATTGCACAATTAGGATCGAATTGTCTAGTCAAGAGTGTGTCTGGTACAACAGTTGCGTAGGATTGCGTTGCTGAGAACGCGTTACATGCTTTAAATGCAAGCAAGGATTCAACGAGAGCATAGAATACTAGTGCAACCAGAAGCACCAGTATGTACAGCTGAGAGTATTTGTAGGGCTGTAGGTGCAAGTGGGTATATAAGAATGAGAATCAGGCGACGAGGATGCATATAGGAGGTGCGGGGTAGCCTGGCAGTACTCATGCAGAAGGTGGTTTGTGCATTTCGTACAATAGAGGGGGTTTCGTAGGGTAGATATGGGTGGAGGGGGATGCATTCATTATGGTTATTGCCACTTATTGGTATGGTAGCGTACATTTTTTATTTTTATTTTATATGTAGAGTTGTTTTTACTACTTAGTAGGAAGGGTTTTTTTTTACATAATCTGTCTATCTCGTGTA